GTACCACAACATGGCAGCTGTTCCGAACTCATTTCCTCAGTATGGTGCTCCAACTATCATTCAAATTCCTCCGGTCACCAACACCCACACAGGGACAAACACGAACCAGTTTCCTGCTGCACCCAAATTACAGTATGGCACTGGGAACTACTATGATAATATATCACAGGTAAGACCTTGGTCTTCTCTTACGATTTCTGACAGGAGAAGTCTGAGGAATGTAAGCATGTTGCTGTCTCTCCATCCGTCTGTTTGTTTGTGGACGGTGGTAGTTATGTTAGTTTGGGGTTATAAGTCGTATCTTGGCAGCTCCAGTTTTATTAAGAGACTCATAGAGTTCCCACATAAAAGAAAATGTGTATTTTGTTTATTTTTAAGACAATGTGCTATTATTTTCCTGGAGTGGAGGAAGTATTTGGAATGTGTTGCACTCGTTCATTGGGAATTTTCTTCAAGATGGAAATTTAGATATGGAAATATGAAGCTAACAGTAAATTAAGATGTTCTGTTAAATCTTTGTTAGATGAAATGACTTGAATTAAATCTACTGACTTCATATCTTTATATCATTGTCAGTACATTGTACTCTGTAACCTACATCATGGAGTTCATTCCCTATCAAAGCAGGTTGTTAAAAGGATTCAGAGACAGTAACATGATTAAAACCAATTTTTTATTTTTTTTATAGTGCTTATACTGTAATTATATCCATATATAGTGGTCACTTGGTAATCCAGCTCAATTGAGATCACATCTATTCTAGATTATATGAAGATCTTGACTACCCGGAGGTCACAGACTTTTATGCTGTTTAGTACTTGCCTTAAAATTTTCTTTTGTCTGTCTTGGCAGTTTAATATTTGCCAATACCTTGGTTTTTCAGGAGCTGCAGACTATGACATTCGCTAGTAATTGCCTAAGTGTAATTAGAGGCTAAGAACTCCATTTGTCGTGTTCTTTGTAATTTTTGTCATATAACACTGAAACTGCTGAGGGTTTTGGCATCCACTGCTTTCTCACTTACATTATTCAAACCATCTAGCTTTGGATAGTTGGAAGTTAACAGAGAAAATGCTGGAAACTTGTTTCTTCATTATTTGTGTGTGTATTGATGCATTCAAATAGACTCTAATATACCTTTTATTGGGATGTACCCTCTCCCCTTTTTTCTCCAAAAGGTGGAAGGCATGCCATAGGGGAGAGCATCATTAGCATTGCATTATCTGCTGTTACAGGGCAAATAGTGCACTATAGAGTCGAGAGTGTTGACTCTTTAACAGATTCATCTTACTGGATGAATAAATATTGAAGCCATGCAATGGAATTGAACCTACACCCCTGACCACCTCAGGCACGAACACTATTGACTGTTTGCGCAGTGTTACAGATACTCTTCTAGCTGGTGCGGCAAGCACCCTATAAGTGGATAGCATGTCGGTTTCATTCTTGGATTCACATATGTAAGTTGCAATTGACCTTAGCCTAGGTATCCAGGTATGCAGAAGTGTGCAGTGTTCAACTTTCACTTATCCCTGTTGTATCCAAGGAGTCTGTCACCTGTCGTGTTGGAAGAGTCATCTACCTGTCACCTCTGTCGTGTCCAAGGAATCTACCTGTATCTATGGACACATGATATCTGTAGATAAGGCATGTTTCCTTGTGTTAATCTTTTAATCCGTTGGCTGCATCAGTATTTTTTATAAACACCTTTATAATTGGGGGTCAAAATTCAGCCTACCCCCACCCCCTCTTTATTTTGTTACATTTCTACTTAAAACACACTTCTCTTTCCAACTTTGCCATAATAAAATATTGATTGTGGAAACACAAATCCTCTACATTTTTTTAGGGGGGGGGGGTGGATGGAATCAACTGCCAGTGGGGTTGATCTCCATTTTATAATATAGAATATGGCTAGAGTACCTAAAATAGGCTGTGTGTGTTCCCAAATCATAACATAATACTTTTTTTTTAATTAAATGCAACCAGTACTCGTCAAAGAATATTATTTTTGTCATCTTTGGGTTTCTTTATTTTTTACCTAATTTCTTAGAATTCAAATTCTAATTCATTATATGATTAGTTTTGTCAGGGGACAGGCAGCCTGTGTATGTATATTAGGCTGGTATCAAGGACCATCCTCCTTAGGTCGAACTACTGACCCTCCCCAGGATAAAACTCCACAATAGTTGACTAACTTCGGCATATCTTTTTTACTGCTAGGTGAACAGAGGCATTAGTTGAAATGAAACTACCCATTTATTTCTGTCCCACCTGGGATTTGAACCCGGTATTCCCGATTGAGGGTCGAGAACGATCCCAACTCTTCCTCCAAGATACATTTTATAAGAAATAGATTTACTCTATACAGTGTACATGAAAATGAAAATCATTAACACAATTTAGATAGTATAACAAATATAAAAAATTATTTAGCATTAATATATAGTGTTATTAAACTGTATTGGGCCATTCTTATTCCAAATGTATAGCATGTATAAATACTTTATATATATTAATTCTAAATAATTGTTCTGACTTGTTTTACTATTTAAATTTTGTTAATGATTTTCATTTTCATGTACACTGTATAAAGAGTAAATCTCTTTCTTATAATAGATTTAGGACAAGGAACTTGGTGTATTTTAGTTTCAGATTGGAAGTGAAATGTATTTATATCATTTGCTATAAAATAAATTTGAGTATGAGGATATTGCATCAACAATACACTCCTCCACAGAGACCTTGCGATAAACATGAGAAAATATTGAAGCCGTACCATAGTATCGAACGCATGTTTCTGAACTCCTTAGGTGTACACATGCCCGACTGCTCCAAAAGTCTATTGGGTTCTTGTTATTTCATAATGATTCAGTACACAAGTTTGCATGATGCATCCAGTTCGGTGCATCTGAATGATAAACACAACTAGTTTAACAAACAATCCTCAGAAATGAGAATTTTCATTCTACTGACAATTTTGTACTGAAAGTGAACGTGTTTGGATAATGAAGGATTTCAGTAGTGTGAGGTTCGTGCCGGTGAGGCAGGGCTGTAATTTTTCTTGGACACTATACAGACTTTACAAAGTTATCTACAAGAATTAGGAACTATTCCTACAAAAAGTTAGAGATGCATAGAAATGCAGAGTAAAGCATGAGGGAACATAATTGAAGTGTATATATGGATAAAAGGATATACTCTGTTGATTCATGAACCCAAGTTAGAACACGATAATGACTTAAAATTGGATAAGTTAAGTTGTCTGGATGTTCCTTTGGTAGTAAGGTCATTTTTCTATATTGATTGAATACATAGACTGCATCATGTTTTGTTGCGATTGGACTGCGTCGGATTTTGTTGTGGTTTCTGTGTCTTAAGACTGGAAGCACTAAGATCAGGACTACCAAGTGACCACTATATATTAACATTTTATTTTGGTCTCTGCTTTCTTTGATCATTGTTTTTGTAATAGTTGTTTTATGCAAAGTACAGTTGTAAATTTATAAGATATTGTTCCATATTTTATAAGTAATTTATTGTCAGACATTAAAACTTGACAGAGTGAAGGCCTTTGATATTTGTCTTACACTTAACAGTTGTTATAAGTACAAGTAGATAGATTATTTAATGGCATATTTTAAACTAATGTAAAAAAAACACATAGTTTGTAAAGTTGGATTAAAGGTACCTACACTGATGCAATACTCACTGGCTTCCTCTTACATAGTGAAACTATAATACAAAGAGGCTAGGCAAAAAGTAGGACATTATGTAGGGATTGGCTAATCACCCTTTAATGAGTTACAGCACTAAAGGAGAAGTGACGTGGTTAACCTTCTGGTGAATTAATTAGGTCACTAGTTGTGGGAATGACATCATGACTGGTTATTTAACACCATAAGCCTTGTCATCACACTTAGTGGTGTAATCCTTGTTAGGGGGTGATTTGCCAGACCCTACATAACTACATTTTGTATTAGCCTTTTCCTGTTGTACTTTTGATATTGAAGAAAGTGCCAGTGTTTGCTAAAGTTGTTTGCAGAAATGTACATTTTGTACCAACGGTTTAGGTTAATATTTTAACATCATTGTTTCATGTTTAAGTTGTGTGTTTTGTATTATCTTTACCTCTTCCTCTCCCACATCATATTCTTTTTTCTCTTACCATTCTTCATCCCTTCCTTTCTTGTCTTATTCCCCTCATATTCCACTCTTTCCTCTTATTACCCTTTCCTGTTATTTACTTCCTTCCATCTTTATATATTTTTACTCCTGTCCTTCCTATTCTTGTCAACATCCAGCCTCTCCCTCTTTCTTCCTCTCTTCTACTTCCCTTCTCTTATTCCTTTCCAACTTACCCCCTTTTTCGGTCCCCTTTGCCATTCTCTTATTTTTTTCATGCCATTTCTCCCATGTCTTTCCTACTTTCAACAGACTCTTTAACTCCTGTCCACCTCCATCCCTCTAATTTCTTTCCAGTTTTTGGTCCCTCTTCTCTAGTACCTCTCCTATCCCCATTACCTTTCTTCTCACCTCCATGTATCCCTTCCTATCTTCTTCCTCTCTTACCTTTATCCTCCTCTCCTTTCTCTCCACTCTCCCAATTCTCTTATGTTGCCCCCACCTCTCCCTTCCAGTCCCCCTTCTCCTTTGCCATCTTGTCCTCCTCTCCCAGGTAGACAATTGCACATTGTTAGATCATTGAAGATGTCAAATACTTTATTTTCTAAGACATTTGTCATTGAATGTTTAAACTTAACTACCATGTATTGATTTAACTTTGATATCAATGCACAATTTCTTCTGTATGTGTGAATATGGCAGAGGTTGATTACTTTGGTTTTTAGACTCAGGACTTCAAGACTGGTTACGGGTCCGCGACACAGAACCAGAATAAAGCTGGTGGAGCAACAACTGGCACAGCCACGAATTCAGGCACTGATCTTGGAGGCTATAAGAACCACCTTAGTAAAATGGGAAGGGTATGTAACCATGTG